TTATTTAGGAAGATGAAATAGGAGACTGTAAAAGCCATACATAACTTAAAACAATGTAATAATTTTCTCATAAAACATGTACGTAAGTTTCATTTTTTTAAAAATTAACATATCCCCAAATTTCACCACCATACAATATGATTGGTTTCACCACTGAATCAAAGATATATAGTTGACATTGTATTGATAAGTTTAACATTCGACTTCTGCGTAAAACAAAATACAAAGGCTTTAGTAGCTTGTTGACAGAGATTTGATATAGATAATTTGAAATAAAACTTTCTATCAAAAATAACTCCAAGATATTTGATTTAAACATATTTATTTCCAAAGAAAGGAACCGGATTGGTAAACAAGCATAAGCTTATATGAATACCGCTCCGGGATACAATGGAAGGAAGAGTAAACATGTCATGATGAATGTACAATGTGAATGATATATAAATGTTGCAAAAACGAGAAATAACACCAACCATTGTTAAACTGTATATGTCATATGAAGAAATTAATTTGGATCAAATCTGCCTGTTAAATTTATAAACGAGTGCACTGAAATTAACAGTTCTTTGTTTACTATTGAGAAACAGCTTTGGATTCCAAACAAAATTGATTTTAGGTCAAATCCTTTCGTATAAAAATACATAATTTGACGTATATCGTTGTAAAGAGTACATGAGAAGAAATAATGAGCATAGTCTTCATAGTTGTGGCCACAAGAGCAAGATGATGTTGGAGATATACATCTTTCATATTTGTGCGCATCAAGGTCACTACATTCAAGTCGGAGACGAGAATGTATGATTTGACAAAATCTGTTACCGAAATGTAAGTCAAAATGACTGTAGATATTAGAATCATTAAGAAGTACATTTTTGAATCTTGATAGGCACAGTGATTCTCTATGTTCAGCTGGTAATGAATTCCATAATATAACAGTATCTGGAAGAAAGGACCTCGCATAATTTACAGATTTACAGTTTATAGTCTGAAGATTTGAATCACCGCGCATATTATAACCAACGATATCTGATACTCTGGGCTGAACAAGGTTTATCAATAACAAGTGTTATTTACCATTTGGTATAACATAGTCATTTTATGAAGGTACCTTCTACGACACAACGGGTGACAATTAGTTTCTTTGTATATTTCATGATGGCTGGTACCACGAACAGCACCACACACGGTTCTTAGAGCATCAAGATTGAGCTTTTCAAGTATATCTGCTTGCTGTTTAGTACAATTATCCCATATATGACTGCAATAATTCAAAACTGGTAATATGAACTGTGTGTACATGGTTTCTAATGTTTTTCGGTTTAAACGATATTTGAGACTTCTTAGACAATTCACCATTGGTGCAACTTTTTTAGCACAGTCGTTAATGTGTTCATTCCATGAGCAATCATGCTGAAGTATAAGACCTAAATGTTTATGACTTTGTACGGAATTAATGACATTAGCATTCATGGTTAGGTTCGGCACTGGAGTTGGTTGCAGTTTACGAGTAAAGCATATTGACTTTGTCTTATTGGGGGATCATCAATGATCGCATATAAAGAAGAATCATCCACAAAAAGGCGTATATTACTATTTATACCTTCTACTATATCATTTATATAAACAATAAACAAGAGCGGCCCCAATACTGAACCCTGGGGTACTCCAGCAAAAACAGCTTTAGTATCAGATCTAAATCCATTAATTACGACACGTTGTTATAGATTTGTCGATCCAGGTAGTTCGATAAGTGTTCTATCTGATTCATGTCGGGAGAACATGGCGGCCACGGCAAAACAACGATGTTAGCGTTATGCAGAAAGTCGTTTGTCAGTCTTGCTGTATGAGACCTTGCATTATCGTGTTGATAGACAATGCCACGTAGTTGTTGCTGGATAAATGTCAACACAACTGGTCGCAAAACTCCATCATTGTATCTTGGAGCATTCGGGTTGCCTTGAATAATCATGAGTCTCCCCACACCATCCCACACTCCAAACGGTCGGACTTGCTGAATGCAATTCGGCGCTAAACGTTCACCTTCTCATCTGTAAACACGAGTCCGGCCGTCATCGGCGTCATGTTCTGTTTACTACTGTGTTGGTCACGTGTCGCGTCAGCTGTGTTATACCATCAGTATGCACGTGCATTCCGTGTTACATCAGACAGTATCGTTGGGATTGTTTGCGACGTATAGGCGATTCGTTAACTTGTTTCGCCGTTTGTTCCCGGAAAAGATGGGCCTGTACGTGTGTGACATGGCTCAGTATGGCGTGATCACTTCAGGTTTAGTTTTGTGAATGTTTATGCACTTTCAGCACTAGTTTAGTTAAATTTGAGCGAAACGATTTCAGTTATCACGTCTCCGATATTTCATGTGCACCTAATGTCAAGTATTTTGGTTCAATATTCTTGACACTGAACCATACAAATCCCACGTCGTATTCCATCAAACGTAGGAAAACATGGCGCCTTTGCATAAAACATTGTTATTTTAATGTCAACAAAGTTTACACCAACTGATTCACTTCTCATACGACGACTGCTTCATTTATCACTTTCAGTTAAATATGAAGAGAGAGAAAAGAAAAGAAAATATCGCGAAATCTGATTCTTTTCAGTATGTGCAAAGGGCACCGGATGCGATGTCACAGCCAAGGTCTGTCTGACAATAATCTTTCGTCATAAATACAAGCTAAATGTGGACATATTTTGTCTGTCAAACCCCGAATTAGCACAAACATTCAATTCCATGGAGTTAAAAACAGTGTGATATTGCCGATAAACTTGGGGTATCACAGAACCTGTTTCGCATTGTATGCTCCCGTGACCGGGAAACGGTACATGGTGTATAATAAACCCACATGCACTTTTCTACGTATCTTATATTTGAACTTTTTGTCAATATAAGGATCACCCTTTGATTTTACATTAAATACTTATCTCCATGACAACATTTGTGGCAGGGTGGTGCTGCCTGTGAAGGTCGTGCAGTTGCTACTTGCCTCCATGACAACATTTGTGGCTGGCTGCTTCTGTGCTGGACGAGTCAGGAAGGTTCATTGATCATTGACCATTTTTGCGTTGCTGGGATTCCCCAGAGTTCTGAAAGTAGGATTTTAGTGTTATCTTTAAACTGTGTTTGCATGAAGATGCATCGTCACTTGCTGATTTGTCTGGTCTTTCCTCACTGGTCAAGTTGCCACATTCCATGTCCACCGAGTCATACAGATCCTCACATAGAGGACAGCCTTAAGTCGTCTGCTGGCTGACAAGGGACAGGGTTATGGTAACCTAACCCTAACCCTCACAGGAGCCGAGCTGGCCAACATTTCCACCGCCCTCACATAGAGGACAGCCCGTCTGTCAAGATCTCTGGTCGTGTTGACTGCAGCTCGAATCCCGCATTTTCCACTACTTGGGTGCTTTAGTATTAGAACATGGACAGAACACGTGAAGATCCAGCAACGAACCAACAACAAATCCAAGAACAGCAAACAAGAATGTTAGTTTTAATCACATTTAATGCCGCTCATGTCATGAGACTTTATAATGATAAACATCAATATCGAGATAAAATATACAATGGAAGAAGCATATACAATCATGTACAAAACAACCGGATGTATGTTACACAGGATAACGGATGTATGATACACAGCACAATGGATGTATGATACACAAAGACAACTGATGTATGATACACAAAGACAACTGATGTGTGATACACAGAACAATGGGTTTATGATACACAATACGATGAATAAATGACACACAGCACAATAGCTCGATGGGGCAGTCTGTTTATGAGAGCATATCCTCCGAGTTCGAGGGCCAGGCGGTGGACCCTAAGATAAAACCACAGAACTTTAGGGTTCCTCTGCTATTTACTGATGACCAGTCTACCTGATGCTGTCGATACAGCTGGTGACTGTATTGAATCTTCTCCACGTGATATCAACAACTGACCATCTTGCCAAAAGTCCCAAGCTCATCTCCCATCACGGACATAAGCAGTTGTTCTGTTGTAATCTTTATGAAGTCAGTATGGTTGTTTATGGAGACAATATTTCCACAAGACGAACGCAATTTTGAAGTTATTTCTATCTAGAGTTTGTAATTACTAAGAAATATGGATGGAGAGACCATAAGGATAGAATGTATAGGACCAAGTCATACACCTGGAATAGTGCTCAACATGGACCAGATGGTCTACATGATCGGCAGTGAGCCAAGGGAGACAACCCATGGCTACAGGAACTGTACATCATGCTATAGGGTACAATGTATAGACCCAAGTCATACACCTGGAATAGTGCTCAACATGGACCAGATGGTCTACATGATCGGCAGTGAGCCAAGGGAGACAACCCATGGCTACAGGAACTGTACATCATGCTACAGGGTACAAATGTATAGACCCAAGTCATACACCTGGAATAGTGCTCAACATGGACCAGATGGTCTACATGATCGGCAGTGAGCCAAGGGAGACAACCCATGGCTACAGGAACTGTACATCATGCTATAGGGTACAAATGTATAGACCCAAGTCATACACCTGGAATAGTGCTCAACATGGACCAGATGGTCTACATGATCGGCAGTGAGCCAAGGGAGACAACCCCATGGCTACAGGAACTGTACATCATGCTACAGGGTACAAATGTATAGACCCAAGTCATACACCTGGAATAGTGCTCAACATGGACCAGATGGTCTACATGATCGGCAGTGAGCCAAGGGAGACAACCCATGGCTACAGGAACTGTACATCATGCTATAGGGTACAATGTATAGGCCCAAGTCATACACCTGGAATAGTGCTCAACATGGACCAGATGGTCTACATGATCGGCAGTGAGCCAAGGGAGACAACCCATGGCTACAGGAACTGTACATCATGCTATAGGGTACAATGTATAGACCCAAGTCATACACCTGGAATAGTGCTCAACATGGACCAGATGGTCTACATGATCGGCAGTGAGCCAAGGGAGACAACCCATGGCTACAGGAACTGTACATCATGCTACAGGGTACAATGTATAGACCCAAGTCATACACCTGGAATAGTGCTCAACATGGACCAGATGGTCTACATGATCGGCAGTGAGCCAAGGGAGACAACCCATGTGAACTGCATCATGCTAGGGTACAATGATAGGACCAAGTCAACCCAACATGGACCAGATGGTCTACATGGGCAGTGAGCCAAGGGAGACAACCCATGGCTACAGGAACTGTACATCATGCTACAGGGTACAATGTATAGGCCCAAGTCATACACCTGGAAAAGTGCTCAACATCCACCAGAGGGTGTACATGATCGGCAGTGAGCAATGTATAGACCCAAGTCATACACCTGGAATAGTGCTCAACATGGACCAGATGGTCTACATGATCGGCAGTGAGCCAGAGGGATCGGCAGTGACCATGGCTACAGGAACTGTACATCATGCTACAGGGTACAATGTATAGGCCCAAGTCATACACCTGGAATAGTGCTCAACATGGACCAGATGGTCTACATGATCGGCAGTGAGCCAAGGGAGACAACCCATGGCTACAGGAACTGTACATCATGCTACAGGGTACAATGTATAGACCCAAGTCATACACCTGGAATAGTGCTCAACATGGACCAGATGGTCTACATGATCGGCAGTGAGCCAAGGGAGACAACCCATGGCTACAGGAACTGTACATCATGCTACAGGGTACAATGTATAGGCCCAAGTCATACACCTGGAATAGTGCTCAACACCGACCAGATGGTCTACATGATCGGCAGTGAGCCAAGGGAGACAACCCATGACTGCAGGAACTCCTGTACATCATGCTGCCATAAGGACATGTGTACCTAACACAACTAGTTGTAAAGGGGATGTAATAACAGGAAAATGACTTGAAAAGTAAAATATCTGCTGTTTAAAGCTTCAAGCTATCACAAATGTTGGTCACAAGAAATTAATCATTATATTTTCATCCATATTTTAACAAAATTGTGAAAGAGGAGTCGTTTTATGTTCACATTTAATGTGTTTTACCAACTGTTCCCAGCATCTGTGTAGATTAAGTCGACGGATGTGATTCACATGATGCCTGAGAGTGGGACTCGTCAGTGTGTGTCGTGTTTCATACAGCCACAACTGACAAGGTTCCACAGTGGAGTCCTCCCCCATCAATGGTGAGTTGTATATGGAGGGTATGGACGAAAATGTAAAAATGGTATATTACAGCTTGACTAGATCTATATTGCAAGCTCTCATCCCACCAAAGGGAAGCCAGAACATACGTTTCTCCTAACACATTTCTCCTAAAACATTTCTTCAAAACACTTCTTGGGACACTGATTTGTGACATTTGAAACAAGGATTCCTTGTAATATGGAATCTATTGAACACTGAATACTTAACATCGACTCTGTACAAGTTTACACAAGCTCATTGTGTCTTGGTTTCCTTGTTACACAGATTGTTGATGCCAAGGATTATAATGTGTAGGCTGTACACAGACACACTGGAGGAAAGCTGAACATGATCTAACTGATGACATATTCATATCGCATCTTGCATGTGGTGGTTACCATGTCAACAATGGATATTCAATATCTTTGGAGTTTGGAACAGAAGGAATGTTCTCTGAGCCCCAAGCCTGCTAGTTGTCTCCCTTGTCAAGAATAAAGTGTTTGAAACCAGCCTGCCCCATGGAACCATCAGTGCTTGATTGAGTTGAGGTTGACAATGTACAGGAGCCACACACCACCATTGTGCTCCAATCAATTTACAAACACAGAGACGATATTTACAGGAAATCAGACAATTACAGAAGCTGCACAAGATCATTTGTTCTGCAGAAAGATATCCACTGTAATACACATTGCACATTATATATATATATATATTGCATAATTGGTGAAACTTACAAACACTAAATGCCCATTCTAGCTCGACTAGTGGAAACATTATCACAACGTATCACAACTCTGCAGTTTAGCTTAATCCTTAAAACAGTGATTCAACACAGATCCTAAAAATCTTTAAAACTCAATGCCTATCTTTAAAATCCAGTACCTTCCTTCATGATCAATGTCTATCTGCAAACAAAACAAACATGTGGCTTTCCTATTGTAGCAAATTAAAAACACAGGGTAGATTTTCATGGTTTCTTAAACCTATTTCTTTCAGTAAACAGTAATCGGGCATAATATGGTAAAAGCATGTTAAATGAAGGAGACGGAACATTCCTACATCAAGCTTCTGGAATACCAAGAAGAAGACACAACAGCTGCAGGACATTCTAGTTGTGCTGGAGACAGTGTGCAGCAAGATGGTGTGCAGCAAGACGTGTGCAGCAAGATGGTGTGCAGCAAGATGGTGTGCAGCAAGGAAGCTGAGCACTACTATTATTGCTACTTGTTTGTCTTGACCAAACTGAAGCCCATTTCTCGTGTCCCCCACCGGGAAATTGCTGGAAATATTGCAAAAATCAGTGTAAAACTCACTCACCCACTCACTCACTCAGCTGACCAAACAGTATAACTTTGACAAGAAATCTATTGTTCTGAGAGGAGTGGAACCGACTTTGGATTAAACAGATAGACAACAAAATAATCATAACCTTAAAATGTAAGGTAGCTGTAGGCAAGACATGTAGATGTGTGTTTCTGGTTCCTCAACCACCATGGTATTACTGATCGGACTGTGTGACACCAACACTTGTCCCACTTGAAAGGTAAAACAGATGATTCATCTAAATACATTGATGGCTCACGGACATTTGTACATCAGACATATGCTAAAATGTTCACAGGAGGCGGGAGGTGGGGTTTGGGCCCATCCAGGTCCACACATGGGGATGGCTGGGTGACTGACAGAATGCTCTCACTCAGGGATGTGGTCAGTTACATTTAAGTAACTTCAACTGACATCTAGTTGTTTCTTCTTGTTGTGACTTAAACCAAATACACAGCACATTTAAAGTATGTCTGTCTTCATCCCCTGTGCTCACAGACTTTCCCTGTGATGAAGCCATGCAGCTTGTCATTAGATAAAATAAAGTCTTCGGGACATGTGGCACAAGATTTCCATGCTTTTACATGCCTTACACATTGCCACAACACTGAAATTCTTCAAATTACTTCTAAAAAACAAGTGTAAAATACCTTAAAACATCATAAACATCGCTCACACAGCTTAAAAACTGATGATAAAAACAAAAATTGTTTAAAATATTGAACACAATGAAATTATTCAGTACCTGAGAAAAATCTGCATTTAGATTAATTCAAAACATGAACCACTCTGATGACTTGTGAATGAGAAAATCCCATGTTCCATGGGTACCAATATGGTCATCCATGGGTTCTGACATAACCTGCCATGGGTTCCGATATCACCTGTCGATTTCACCTGCCATGGGTTCTCATATCGTCTGCTGTGCATTCTGATATTGCCTGCCATGGGTTAAAACTGCCATCAGTATACATGGAGATACAAAATCAGCCACCGGCCCATCTCTCATCAACACCAAACCATGGCAACACAAACATGGAACCATGGTACGAGTTTGCACAAAATCCGGTAACCATGTTAACAAGAGTTCATGCAGTAGCCTGGAACCGTTGCTATTATTTTTATCTGAACACCACATCAACAACCTTCTGCCACCCTCAAATTTCATTTCCTCAAGTTAATCCTTTGATTTGTATTAAGGGAGACAATTCATGAAGAAAAGTTCAGAATACCTCCCTTTGACTGCTGTGCCAGTTTCCTGCCACCAGCTGCTTCCAGTGAAAGAATTGTGGCCTGTTTCTGTTATGTGAAACTTACGGTTGATCACACAGAAGAGTTCTAATTGACCGATGTAACACACTCTCCGAGGATCTCCCTCAACATATCCAAATTGTCTGACTATTTCAATGTAAAGAATCCTATCAGGACGGCCCGATACAAAACACTAAGGAACTGATTGCACACACAAAGTTGCATCAACAGAAAAAATAACAAACTTTCTATATTTGATAATGTCACACACCTGTTGGGAGACCACTGCTATCACAGGAAGTTGTTTACCCTCAAGAACAAAACACATTAAGGAAAGAAAGACATTAAGATGTCTGAGCAATAAGAACATCTTGTTTCCTTTTACCCCTAAACAAGTTACAAAAATATGACCTGTCTGAGAATTATGGCATAAATACTTTCATTTATCTCACAGAACATAATGGTAATACATAAATCCAAGCATAGTAACCATGGCAACAACCATTGAATGTTTCATAAATAATGTGTTGAAGTACAGACGTCACTCAGAGCCTATCATGTCACCCTGAGCCTTGTCCCATGAAACAATGTCAGCACTAAGTTGTCGTAATTTCCATACCTTAAGACTAACGTAAGTTGTCGTAATTTCCATACCTTAAGACTGACGTAAGTTGTCGTAACTCCCATACCTTAAGACTGACGTAAGTTGTCGTAACTCCCATACCTTAAGACTGACGTAAGTTGTCGTAACTCCCATACCTTAAGACTGACGTAAGTTGTCGTAACTCCCATACTTTGAGACTGACGTAAGTTGTCGTAACTTCCATACCTTAAGACTGATGTAAGTTGTCGTAACTTCCATACCTTAAGACTGACGTAAGTTGTCGTAACTTCCATACCTTAAGACTGACGTAAGTTGTCGTAACTCCCATTAAAGAAGTTCAAAAATATATATCAAACTCCAAAATGTTCAGTAATTGGATATAACGTTTATGATCTAAATAATTGATGTATTCAATGTATTACTTTATTTTAAATGTTATATACCCCTTTTGCATACATCTTTCTATCCCTGTGCATGCAGTTTGTTTCACTTTTGCATGTAAGCACTGTAAATAGGAGAGGGTTTAACTTAGTTGGAATAAATAGTTCCCAATACATTCTCTTGAATAAATATGTTTAAATCAAATCTCCCATACCTTAAGACTGACGTAAGTAGTCATAACTCCCATACCTTAACACTGACTTACAACACCCCTATTACTAAGTTGTCGTAACTACCATACTTTAACACTGACTTACAACAACCCTAGTACAAAGTTGTCGTAACTCCCATACTTTAACACTGAATTGCAACACCCCTAGTACTAAGTTGTCGTAACTCCCATACTTGAACACTGACTTACAACACCCCTAGCACTAAGTTGTCGCAACTCCCATACCTTAACACTGACTTACAACACTCCTAGTACTAAGTTGTCGTAACTCCCATACTTTTAACACTGACTAAGTTACATACACTACTTACAACACCCCTAGCTAAGTTGTCGTAACTCCCATACCTTAACACTGACTTACAGCACTTACTAAGTTGTCCGTGACCTTTAACACTGACTTACAACACTAGCACTAAGTTGTCGTACCTTAACACTCACCCCTAGCACTAAGTTGTCGTGTATACCTTTAACACTGACTTACAACACTACTAGTACTAAGACTTACAACACCCCTAACTCCCATACTTTAACACTGACTTACAACACTACTAGTACTAAGTTGTCGACTTAAACACTCCCATACCTTAACACTGACTTACAACACCCCTAGGACTAAGTTGTACTAGTACTAAGTTGTCGTAACTCCCATACCTTAACACTGACTTACAACACCCCTATTACTAAGTTGTCGTAACTACCATACTTTAACACTGCCTTACAACACCCCTAGTACTAAGTTGTCGTAACTCCCATACTTTAACACTGACTTACAACACTACTAGTACTAAGTTGTCGTAACTCCCATACTTTAACACTGACTTACAACACCCCTAGCACTAAGTTGTCGTAACTCCCATACCTTAACACTGACTTACAACAACCCTAGTACTAAGTTGTCGTAACTCACATACCTTAACACTGACTTACAACAGGTATGAGATGCCTGTGAGGAATAAGGCTCAGGATTGGCAGGACTCAGAGTGACATGAGAGTGACATGAGAGTGACATCTGTGTGACATCTGTGTGACATCAGAGTGACATCAGAGTGACATCTGTTGACATCTGAGTGTCATGAGAGTGACATGAGAGTGACATCTGTTGAGATCAGAGTGACAGTGACATCTGAGTCACATCAGGATAAGACAGACTACCTGGCGGCATGTTGCCAAAACCAATCACAGCAAGAAGATATGATGCATACATCAATTACATTTTAAACTTGTACTACAATCTCATTTTGTCGTATCTATGTTCACTAAAGCCAAATATCTTTACAAACAACTCGGGTAAATTATCAAGGCTAAAACCATTCATGAAGACTGGCATGTCGTGCAACAACTCATGGAAGTCCACTGAGTCTGTCTGTATGAAGCAACACATAAAGAAGATGGCTGCAAGGCTGAGGCAGAAACACCATTGTTTGTAGGTTGTATTCATTGTTGGCTTCTGCCAGACTCAGGCCAGGAAGGGAGTCCAGGTGTCTTCACAGGTGATGGAGAAACATACAAACCTCAGAAATGTTGACTGTGACAAAATGCTGAAGACTTGATGACATGTGCATCTCAATATTTCCAATGTATGGATACAACACTGGGAGCACACTGTATCTCGACACCGAGTCGGTCACAGATCCAGCCTGGCATCATGGGACGATAGGAGAGGAGGTGCGGGTCCTCCATCAGTAAATCACCATAGCAACATGACTCACATTACAGAGTTTTGTATAAATCTGTTACAATACAGCCTTACATCTTGTGAGATATTTGATATATCTGAGAGGCAAAATCACAAATATCACCTTATTACTTTTGATTGCCTTCACAAATATCTGACATTAAATATCCAACAAAAACACAACAAAAAAATCTACATCTGATACCAAATTTAAGAAGAAAGAAACTCCAACACAGGGCAATGCCAGAAAGATTCTACTGATGTCCACCAACATTTAACACACAGATCAGTTTGCTGAAACCACAAAATCTCTGGCAAGTTATTATTTGAGAAAAGAAAGTAAGTGCATAAAATGTTTAATGCTGCTACACAGAATCGGTAATCAATGATTAGGTGTGGTCTGTTTTCATGAGACTGCATGCACACAAATTATGCAGCTCAACTGGTTTCTATAATGGAGACATATTTTGACAAATTCGCAACAAATTTGTGTAAAATAAACATGGCATCAGGAAGGGAGATAACTGGAGTTACTTCCCCTTGATCAAACAAAGCATCGCTCCCACATAAAACATGATTAAATAAACTATAAATGGTATAAAACATAAAACCATAATATAGAATATGTATAATGCTTTTGTGATAAAAAAGACAAGTTGTTTTAAGATCTTTGATGTAAAATCATCAAGTGTTTCTTCACTTGAAACACATCACAATGACATGTACATTTATGAATATGATATATGATATGATTGAAGATACAGGTCCAAGTGAGCTAATGAATTCTACACAACTGTCAACCTACACTAATATTCTACTTTTACTATACATAGCTACTTAAAGGTCCATTTCGCACTGTTATAAGACCTAAAGGTAGAGACCTTTGACCTGATTCTTGATTGGCTGATTCAAGTGGTACTGGGTTACCTGATTCTTGATTGGCTGATTCAAGTGGTACTGGGTTACCATTGGCTGATTGATCTTCTTGTTCCTGTGATGCCTCAGCTGTTGTAACTGGATACGACACTCGCTTCTTTGATTTTGTTGCATTCCGAGACCTACGTTTCGGCGTACCTTGACCTACCATGGGTAGCTGAGAATGTTCCGCACCTAGGCCGGGGGATCCTTCACAAGCGCCTGTCAGGTGGCCAAAAGATCGAGGCCGAGAGGACTTTTGTCGAGTTGGACTTGGACTGTAGGAACTTTTGTCAGCACTTGTTAAGTGTGTCTTTCCTCCAGGTTTACCCAGGGCTACATTGTGTTGCTTATTTTCACTACCTGACTGAGACTTGTCATTGTGAACTCCTGACTTTATCAGAGCCTGAGGACATTCAACGTCATCGGCGTCCACTAACCTCAACTCAACCATCCCACTTCTTGATTGTAAAAAATTGGGATCATCAATGAAACCATATTGTTTGTAGGAATCACACACTGGTTTTCCAGGCTTCTTTTTCGAAGAGTCTCCTTTGCCAGTACCAGGTTTGTTGCTAGGCGAACCGGATGCTTTGCTACTTGGTGATCCATGGACTTTGTCAGATCTCTTCCTGTGACTAGGAGAGGCTCCTGTGCCTGTCTCACCTCTCTTGCCCACCTCTCCCCCAGGTGGCAGTTGGGCTGAGGAAGAGTGGGTATGCTTCTTTGGTCTGCCCTGCATCACGCTCCCTGTGGAATGACGATTCTGTTTATGTTTGTCCTTTTTCTTAGATCGGTGGACTTTTGGGGACATTGCATCCACAGCTGGATTATGCATTGTGACAGAGTTTGAAGCTTGATCAGCTCCAGCTTCCTCTATAGCATTCAGCCTTGGCTTCACCATCTCCTCTCCTCCCTCATCACATACAGGCCTCCCACTCGGCGAAAAGGTATCGCCTCTGTCGTTCATCGGCTGTCCCTCAGGACGACTGTCATGATGAACTTGACCTTCAACATGTTGGGCGAGACTGGCCATCCTCATGGCATGAGCAGATATTGGGATGTCTGGATACTGAGAGTCATTCCTCAACACTCTTCCTGCTGCTGCTGCAGCGACTGCTTTGGATCTTTTTTCTCCAGTTTCTGAACAAACTGAAAATACTGAAATATCCGAGGTCACCGAATGAGATCGCCGCATTGATCTTGTGACTGGAGACCCTGGCGAGGCAGGGCCATCGAAGGAGGTCACTGGACTGTTCAAAAGATTGGAAAGACGAATGTTTCTGAGATACTCATTACTATTAATATGCTGGTTTTCTGATGCTTGATCCTCAGCATCTTTAGCCTGAGGATTAGCTTCAGATGCCGAGGGACTGTTTGAGGAGAAATCTAGAGGCGGCAGACTTTTACGTAGATGTTCCTGATCATTCCTATCATGCTTGTTTTCCCTCAGAATTACACAGCTCTGAGACATACCATGACTAGTTGCCATTGGTGGCTCAGGGCAGTCCAAAACAGGTTCTGGTGGTTCCTCAGCCAAAGGATGATAAGCTGCTGCAGCAGCTGCTAGAGTTCTACCTGCATCACTTGCTGAGCCATCAGAATCTGCCTTTTGTCCGTTGTGTAACCGTGGAGGCAGGGAAGAATATTGTTGACCAGGATTACATGTATTTGCTTCTTGAGGTAATGACTGACTGCTGTTAGCCGGACTCCACGACGTGTCCGCACCTGGATTGAGATGTCCTTGACAGCTTCGGGATGTCCTGGGACATGGGACATCTTGTCTCAGCTTCCGCCCTTTCAGTCTGTCCTGGCAGAAGCCAAGAGGCAGTGTTTGACTTGTCCAGTGGGACTTGTCAGGGCAAACTGTCTTTTTTCAGAAGCGTCTGCTCACTATCACAGCTGCAGTTGTGTGACTCAGTGCTGTCTGTGCTGTTGGACACTCGGCCAAGAGAGTTACTGTGATATGCAGCAGGTTCACGACCACTTGCCTCCACACTGGGTCCCCTCTGTGATGAGGACTCAGATCTAACTCTGCCAGCAGAACAAGAACCACTGGTTTGTCTCTGGTCATTGTCAGTGATTTCAGTCCCAAAAAGTGAGCGCCTTGTCCGCTGTCCTCCTCCTCCTCCTATGTCCTGACTGGGACTAGTCCGGCCATATTGATTACTTGCCTGAGTACCCTGAGATCTGCTGCTGATGGTCTGGGTGTCAGATGGGAGCAGGATGTTGTTATTGTTATTGTTGCTATGGTGATTCTGATCCACCTCCTCATAGGGAGGTGGGGCCTCCCCAGGCATGATGTGTGGGTTTGGTTTGGGGGAGGAGTACGGAGGAGGCGGGTCTTCATAGGGGGGACATTCAATCATGCCAAAGTAGGTATCAGGGATGTAGGGGTCCGAATCACTCTCATCCAGCTGCTGCCGCCGTGATTGTGCCTCGAACCCTGCAGGTAACATCAGACACAGTTAACAGGAGGACTCATATATCACATCATTTACAGATTCTTTCATGAACATTTCTTCCTCATATAACTGTTTGGAAGGTGAAATATAAATTTAGCAACTACTAAAAATATCTATAAAATGAACATCTATGATGTTTAGTGTTTGAAGATCCTCTAAGAATCAACTTAAACTGGCAATGCTGTTTTCAAAAAAGTGTTTACAAGTTTGTTGGATAAAGTACATAGTCAGATATTGCAAGCAAACCAGTTCATACAAGAATAAGATTAATTCACAAAAGGACCCCAAAATCCATATCTCATGGTTGGAGTAACTGTGTCTCTGTACACCACTCACTTCTCTGTACACCACTGACGTCTCTGCACACTACTCACGTCTCTGTACACCACTCACGTCTCTGTACACCACTCACGTCTCTGTACTCTGTACACCACTCACGTCTCTGTACTCTGTACACCACTCACGTTTCTGCATACTACTCTCGTCTCTGCACTCTGTACACCACTCACGTCTCTGTATGTCACTCTCATCTCTGTACACCACTCACGTCTCTGTACTCTGTACACCACTCACGTCTCTGTACTCTGTACACCACTCACGTCTCTGTACTCTGTACACAATTCACGTTTCTGCATACTACTTTTGTCTCTGTACTCTGTACACCACTCTCATCTCTGTACACCACTCACGTCTCTGTACTCTGTACACCACTCACGTCTCTGTACTCTGTACACCACTCACGTCTCTGTACTCTGTACACCACTCACGTCTCTGTACTCTGTACACCACTCACGTTTCTGCATACTACTTTTGTCTCTGCACTCTGTACACCACTCACTTCTCTGTACACCACCCACGTCTCTGTACACCACTCACGTCTCTGTACACCACTCACGTCTTTGTACACCACTCACGTCTCTGTACACCACTCATCTCTGTACACTACTTAAGTCTCAGTACACCACTCATCTCTGAACACCACTCTCGTCTCTGTACACCACTCACATCACTGTACACCACTCACATCTCTGTACACTACACACGTCTCTGTACACCACTCACGTCTCTGTACACTACTCACATCTCTGTAACCACTCACGTCTCTGTACACCACTCACGTCTCTGTAACCACTCACGTCTCTGTACACCACTCACGTCTTTGTAACTACTCTCGTCACTGTACACCACTCACGTCTCTGTACACTACCCTCTCTGTACACCACTCGCGTCTCTGAACACCACTCACGTGTCTGTACACCACTCACGTCTCTGTACACCACTCACGTCTCTGTACACCACTCACGTCTCTGTAACCACTCACGTCTCTGTACACCACTCACGTCTTTGTAACTACTCTCGTCACTGTACACCACTCACGTCTCTGTACACTACCCTCTCTGTACACCACTCTGAACACCACTCATCTGTACACCACTCACGTCTCTGTACACCACTCACGTCTCTGTACACCACTCACGTCTCTGTAACCACTCACGTCTCTGTACACCACTCACGTCTTTGTAACTACTCTCGTCACTGTACACCACTCACGTCTCTGTACACTACCCTCTCTGTACACCACTCACATCTCTGTACACCAATCATGCCTCTGTATACCACTCACATCTCTGTATGCCACTCACGTGTCTGTACACCACTCACATCTCTGTACACCACTCATGTCTCTGTACACCACTCACATCTCTGTACATCACTCTGGTCTCTGTACACAACTCACGTCTCTGCACACTACTCACGTCTCATTGCCAGAAGGAGCCGTCTCTGCCTGAGTCGGTGCACCATGAAGAGCAGCAGCGCCAGGACGAGGAAGGAGGTGACAGTGCTGGCCACCAGACGGAGCCCCAGGTTGGTGATGCTGTCATCCTCTACTGTTGGGGAACATGCCATTGTGTCATTGCCACACCAGATAGGTTGATTTAGTCATAGTTTTTATTCAACCATCCATGTTTTAAGAATTGGACAAGAAATGCTGTTTAAATAATGATATTCAAATAATGGCTTCCTTACAACAGTTCACATAGAGAATGTTTACAAACATGATTGCTGATGCATGATACGCTTGGCATGATTGATGATGTAAGACTGAACTGACTGACTGAACACTGCCCCGCATCATGCATGTGACAGACAGTGACAAACACACACTGTGACCAACATTACCTGTGCCGCCATTGCCAATGGTGCTGTTGTCCATGCCGGGGAGGTCGGGATTGGACCGGGGAGGGTCCAGACACTGGTACTCACAGCACTCTTCCTCCACCTTGATGAGGGTGACACACTTGTGTTCCGGGGGGTGGCACACCACGTCCTGGCACATGATGGGGAAGCCCTTGTGGCAGGTACACTTCATACAGGGGTCCTCGTTGTTCGGGGTGAACTTCTCCCCATTCTCTACCTTGTTGCCTTTCCAGTCAAAACAGTTGTTGTTGGCAGCCAGTACTGGAAACAAAATCACACTTGTGGATGTCTCATTTTACATTTAGCAGCAGACATCATCAGCACTGCAGCAGACATCATCAGCACTACAGCAGCCATCATCAGCACTACAGCAGATATCATCAGCACTACAGCAGATATCATCAGCACTACAGCAGATATCATCAGCACTACAGCAGACATCATCAGCACTACAGCAGACATCATCAGCACTACAGCAGATATCATCAGCACTACAGCAGATATCATCAGCACTACAGCAGACATCATCAGCACTACAGCAGACATCATCAGCACTACAGCAGACATCATCAGCACTACAGCAGCCATCATCAGCACTACAGCAGACATCATCAGCACTACAGCAGACATCATCAGCACTACAGCAGCCATCATCAGCACTACAGCAGTCATCATCAGCACTACAGCAGTCATCATCAGCACTACACCAGACATCATCATCAGCACTACAGCAGCCATCATCATCAGCACTCAGCACTACAGCCAGACATCATCAGCACTACAGCAGATATCATCAGCACTACAGCAGATATCATCAGCACTACACCAGACATCATCAGCACTACAGCAGATATCATCAGCACTACAGCAGCCATCATCAGCACTACAGCAGATATCATCAGCACTACAGCAGACATCATACATCATCAGCACTACAGCAGACATCATACATCATCAGCACTACAGCAGACATCATCAGCACTACAGCAGACATCATACATCATCAGCACTACAGCAGCCATCATCAGCACTACAGTAAATGGCAAATATTCACTTGTCCGAACTGCAAGTATAGTTGTCCAGACCAATGCTATCTTCATCATCAAACCAATGCTATCATCATCATCAAACCAATGTTATCATCATCAAACCAATGCTATCATCATCATCAAACCAAAGCTATCATCATCAAACCAATGCTATCATCATCAAACCAATGCTATCATCAATGCTATCATCATCAAACCAAAGCTATCATCATCAAACCAATGCTATCATTATCATCATCAAACCAATGCTATCATCAGCAAACCAATGCTATCATCATCATCAAACCAATGCTATCATCAACAAACCAATGCTATCATCATCATCAAACTAATGCTATCATCATCAAACCAATGCTATCATCATCAAACCAATGCTATCATCATCATCAAACCAATGCTATCATCATCAAACCAATGCTATCATCATCAAACCAATGCTATCATCATCAAACCAAAGCTTTTGAAATTCTCTTTCCACTCTTTCTCCTATGCACAATATTTTTCAGCTTGTGATTATATTTTAGATCCAGACATCCATTTATCAGTATAACTGCCTCCCTGTCTAATAACAGATTGGTCCATCCAAATTGTTTACAAACTAATGTACACTATTTGTGCGCTTCTGCTCAAATAGTTAAATGCTGTGAGATTGGCTGTAAGTTGTACCACTCAGCCAATCAAAGAACTGATTACAAGCATGCTTCCTTTACCAAAACTTGAAAGTAAACAGCATTCAGTAATTGTAACTTAGTCACATTCACGATGTAAACATATAACTCAAAATTAACTTTGATGATATTTATGGCATTTTAGGAAAACTATAGCCTCAGTGTTCTAGTTGTTCACGGGCAAGTAAACCGAAATTACTCTGGCAAGTCTGACATTGGATTTCTGCACCAATCAGGTCACCTACACCCTGTCACATATATCAAGGTCACACATACCCAGGTCACCTACACCCTGGTCACAAACACCCACGCCCTGGTCACACACACCCACGTAAACTACACCCAGGTCACCTACACCTTGTCACCTACACCCAGGTCACACATAACCAGGTCACCTACACCCTGTCACCTACACCCAGGTCACACATACCCAGGTCACCTACACCCTGTCACCTACACCCAGGTCACACATACCCAGGTCACCTACACCTAGGTCACCTACACCCTGGTCACAGATACCCAGGTAATCTACACCCAGATCACCTACACCCTGGTCACACATACCCAGGTGATCTACGCCCAGGCCACACATACCCATGTCACCTACACCCTGTCACCTACACCCAGGTCACACATACCCAGGTCACCTACACCCTGGTCACACATACCCAGGTAATCTATGCCCTGTCACCTACACCCTGGTCACACATACCCAGGTAATCTATGCCCTGTCACCTACACCCAGGTCACACATACCCAGGTAATCTACACCTAGGTCACCTACACCCTGTCACCTACACCCAGGTCACACATACCCAGGTAATCTACGCCCTGTCACCTACACCCTGGTCACACATACCCAGGTAATCTACACCTAGGTCACCTACACCCACGTCACACATACCCAGGTCACCTACACCCTGTCACCTACACCCACGTCACACATACCCAGGTCACCTACACCCTGTCACCTACACCACATCACACATACCCAGGTCACCTACACCCTGTCACCTACACCACATCACACATACCCAGGTCACCTACACCCTGTCACCTACACCACATCACACATACCCAGGTCACCTACACCCTGTCACCTACACCACATCACACATACCCAGGTCACCTACACCCTGTCACCTACACCACGTCACACATACCCAGGTCACCTACACCCTGTCACCTACACCACATCACACATACCCAGGTCACCTACACCCTGTCATCTTCACCCAGGTAAACTACACCCAGGTCACCTACACCCAGGTAAACTACACCCAGGTCACCTACACCCTGTCACCTACACCCAGGTCACACACACCCAGGTAAACTACACCCAGGTCACCTACACCCCTTCACCTACACCCAGGTCACACATACCCAGGTAATCTACACCCTGGTCACACACACCCAGGTCACCTACACCCTGTCACCTACACCTAGGTCACACATACCCAGGTAATCTACACCCTGGTCACACACACCCAGGTCACACATACAAAACTCACAGGCCACTCAGCCGTTTCACAGCATTGGACTGACGCGAAAATCACATACACCCAGGTGACCTACACCCAGGTCACACATACCCAGGTCACGAACATTCAGCAAAACTGAACAAGATGCTTGTCCTGTCGAGACCCTGACCTAACGTCTCCAAGGTGGTTGTAAGTTATCACTGGACCCATCAACATGAGCTGTCCTGTCGAGACCCTGACCTAACGTCTCCAAGGTGGTTGTAAGTTATCACTGGACCCATCAACATGAGCTGTCCTGTCGAGACCCTGACCTAACGTCTCCAAGGTGGTTGTAAGTTATCACTGGACCCATCAACATGAGCTGTCCTGTCGAGACCCTGACCTAACGTCTCAAAGGAGGCTGTAAGTTATCACTGGACCCATCAACATGAGACCCTTATCACTGGACCCATCAACATGAGCTGTCCTGTCAGAGACCCTGACCTAACGCCTCCAAGGTGGCTGTAAGTTATCACTTATCACTGGACCCATCAACATGAGCTGTCCTGTCGAGACCCTGACCTAACGTCTCCAAGGTGGCTGTAAGTTATCACTGGACCCATCAACATGAGCTGTCCTGTCGAGACCCTGACCTAACGTCTCCAAGGTGGCTGTAAGTTATCACTGGACCCATCAACATGAGCTGTCCTGTCGAGACCCTGACCTAACGTCTCCAAGGAGGCTGTAAGTTATCACTGGACCCATCAACATGAGCTGTCCTGTCGAGACCCTGACCTAACGTCTCCAAGGTGGTTGTAAGTTATCACTGGACCCATCAACATGAGCTGTCCTGTCGAGACCCTGACCTAACGTCTCCAAGGAGGCTGCAAGTTATCATTTGACCCATCAACATGAGCTGTCCATGGCTACAAACACTTGTTCCCCGTTCCCAGTCCTGAATAATCAAATAATCAGGAACACATCAGGAACATCGGCTTAACTCCCCCTGGCTTAACTCCCCCTGCACCCTGATCATGATTCATTTATTATCTTCTGTCATACAGCCTCTCCTCAGTGACCACAAGTTCTGCACATTCATGAACAAACCAAGCTCGGAAACCTCAGTACAAGTCAGCCTCCGTGGCATCAGGATACACACTGTGGAACACAGGATGAAATAACAGGTCACCCTCAGGATGCCACTCCTCCTCCCATATTGTAACAACAGCTGAATCAAGGTGAAGACAGCTACAGAGGCTGGCAACTGACTTCGTCTCCAAGGCACATCGACTAAATGGTTTTGGTCAATCTTTGTGAGTGAGTGAGCAAAGGGCTGGTTATGCAGTTGAATATAACAGCATGACATTGTTGTTGGTTAATCTGTGTCAAACAGGTGTTGGTATAACTGTTGAATATTACAGTATGACATTGTTGTAGGTTAATCTGTGTAAAACAGATGTTGGTATAACTGTTGAAAACAACAACATGATATTGCTGGTGGTTAATCTGTGTCAAACAGATGTTGGTATAACTGTTGAATATTACAGTATGACATTGTTGTTGGTTAATCTGTTTAAAACAGGTGTTGGTATAACTGTTGAATATAACAGTATGACATTGTTGTTGGTTAATCTGTGTAAAACAGATGTTGGTATAACTGTTGAATATAACAGTATGACATTGTTGTTGGTTAATCTGTTTAAAACAGGTGTTGGTATAACTGTTGAATATAACAGTATGACATTGTTGTTGGTTAATCTGTTTAAAACAGGTGTTGGTATAACTGTTGAATATAATAGTATGACATTGTTGTTGGTTAATCTGTGTAAAACAGATGTTGGTATAACTGTTGAATATAACAGTATGACATTGTTGTTGGTTAATCTGTTTAAAACAGGTGTTGGTATAACTGTTGAATATAACAGTATGATATTGTTGTTGGTTAATCTGTGTAAAACAGATGTTGGTATAACTGTTGAATGAAACAGTATGACATTGTTGTTGGTTAATCTGTGTAAAACAGATGTTGGGATAACTGTTGAATGAATCAGTATGACATTGTTGTTGGTTAATCTGTGTAAAAC